AAAGCATTTCTAGGAGAAAAATTCATCGTGACACAGGCCTATCTCAAGAAACAAGAATAATCTCAAATAAACAATCTAACCTTTACACCTAAAGAAACTAGAAAAAGAACAAACTAAGCCCGAAGTGAGTGGAAGGAAGGAAATAATAAAGATCAGAGTAAGAATAAATGAAAGAGAGTAAAAAAAACTATAGAAACTAAGAGCTGGTTCTTTGAAAAGATAAACAAAATAGATAAACCTTTAGCCTGACTCATCAAAAGAGAGGGCCAAAATAAATATTGGGTTGTCAGAAAAGTCATGACGCATTTTTACAACGAAAAACATAGAAAACATACGTCATGACTTTTTTGACAACCCAATAAAATCAGAAGTAAAAAAGTGACAACCAACACTACAGGAATACAAAAGATTGTAACAGAATACTATGAACAATTATATGCCAAAAATTTCACAACATAGGAAAAATGGATAAATTCCTAGAAACATAATCTTCTAAGACTAAATCAGGAAGAAGCATAAAATCTGAACAGACTAATTACTAGAAATGAAATTAAACAATCAAAAAGCTCCCAACAAACAAAAGTCCAGGACCAGACAGCTTCACAGGTGAATTCTAGCAAGCATTCAATGAAGAATCAATACCTAACCTTCTCAAACTATTTCAAAAAATTAAAGAGGGAAAGCTCCTTAACTCATTCTATGAGGCTACCATTACACTGATGCCAAAACCAAGACTACAAAAAAAAAAAGAAAAAGAAAATTACAGGCCCAAATCCCTGATGTACATAGATGCAAAAATCCTCAACAATATATCAAAAAGATCATGCACCATGATTTAGTGGGGTTTATTACAGGGACATAACGATGTTCAACATTCTCAAATCAATCAATGTGATACACCATATAAACAAAATGAAGGATAAAAATCATATGATACCAATAGATACAGAAAAAGCATTTTACAAAATTCAACATCCATTTATAATAAAAACTCAACAAAGTGTGTATATAAGGAAAACACCTCAACCTTTTTCTCTATCAGGAATAAGACAAGGATGTTCCGTCTCACCACTCTTATTCAACACAGTATTGAAAGTCCTAGTCACAGCAATCAGACAAGAAAACGAAATAAAGGTATCCAATTTGGAAAAAAATAAATTGTCACTATTCACAGATGACATACTATATATATATATATATATATATATATATATATATATATATATATATATACACACTAAAGAGTCCACCAAAAAACTACTCAAACTAATAAAATGAATTCAGTAAAGTTGCAGGATACAAACAATATTAATATTGATAAATCTTTTGCATTTCTATGCACCAATAACAAACTATAAGAAAGAGAAATCAAGAAAACACCTATTTACAATTGCATTAAAAAAAAACCTAAGCGGGGGCTGGCTGAGTGGCTCAGTTGGTTAAGAGCTCGCTTAAGAGTGTGAGCTCTGAGCAACAGGGTTGCCGGTTCGATTCATGGCCCGAGCTGAGCTGGGGCTGCCTCTACCAACAGGTGGCAGGATGGCTCAGCTAACAAAAATCAAACCAAAAAAACAAAACAAACAAACAAACAAAAAAACCTAAGTATAAATTTCACCAATGTTGTAAAAGATCTGTACTATAAAAACTACAAGATACTGATGAAAGAAAATGAAGAAGACACAAATAAATGAAAAAATAAACAGCGCTCATGAAATCAGAAGAATGAGTATCGTTAAATGTCCATACTCTCCAAAGCAATCTACAGATTCAATGAAACCTCTATTCAAAATACCAATGGCATTTTTCACAGAACTAGAACAAATAATGCTAAAATTTACATAAAGCCATAAAAGACTGAATAGCCAAAGAAATCTAGAGAACAACAACAACACAAAAACAAAGTTGGAGGTATCACAGTCCCTGATTTCAAAGTACACAACAAATCTACAGTAATCAAAACAGCATGATACTGGCACACAAACAGATACATATATCAATGGAACAGAACAGAGCCCAGAAATAAACCTATACTTATGGTCAATTAACCTACGACAAAGAAGGCAAAAATATACAATGGAGGAAAAGACAGTCTCTTTAATAAATGTTGTTGGGAAAACAGATACATACAAAAAAGTTAAACTAGACCACTTTCTCACACTATATATAAACATAAACTCAAAATGGATTCAAGACTTACATGTAAAACCCAAACCATAAAACTCCTAGAAGAAAACATGCAGTAAACTCTTTGATAGGTCTCAGCAATATTTTTTGGATAGGTCTTGTTGGGCAAAGGCAACAAAAGCAAAAATCAACAAATAGTACTTATAAACTAAAAAGTTTTGCATAGCGAAGGAAACTATCCACAAGATGAAAAACAACCTACTAAATGAGAAGAGATATTTGCAAATAATATATCCGATAAAAGGTTAATATCCAAAATATATGAAGAACTCATACTACTCAACATCAAACAATCCAATTAAAAAAATGCACAGATGATCTTAACAGACATGTCTCCAGATATACAGATGGCCAACAGACACATGAAAAGATGCTCAACATCATTAATTATCAGGGAAATGCAAATCAAAACCATAATGAGCTATCACCTCACACATGTCAGAATGCTAGTATCAAAAAAACAATATAGAACTGCACTGTTCTGTACACCTGAAACTAACAATTAAAACAAAACAAAATTGTTGGTGAGAATGAGAAAAGAGAACCCCCATGCACTGATGGTAGAATTGCAAATTGGTGCAGCCACTATAGAAAACAGCATGGAGGTTCTTCAAAAAATTAAAAATAGAACTACACTATGACCCAGCGATTTCATTTCTAGGGATTTATCCAAAGAAAACAAAAACAATAATTTGAAAAAATATATGCACCCCTGTGTTCACTGCAGTATTGTTTATAATAACCAAGATATGGAAGCAACCCAGGTGTCCATCAATAGATGACTGGATAAAGAAGATGTACATATATACAATGGACTATTAGCCAAAAAAAGGAATGAAACCTTGCCATTTGTGACATGAATAGTCATATAGAGTATTATGTTAAATGAAATAAGTTGAACAGAGAAAGACAAATACTGTATGATTTCACTTATTTGTAGAATCTTAAAAAACAAAATAAACAAATTGAAATAGGAAGAAACTCATTGAGAGAGCAAACTCATGGTTGTGGGATGGAGGGTGATGGGTGGAAAAGGGGATTAGGAAATACAAACTTCCAGTTATAAAATAAGTCATGGGGATGTGATGTAAAGCATAGGGTTTAGAGTCAATAATACTGACTCTAATAATAATTACGTACAGTTACAGATAGTTACTAGACTTACTGTGGTCATCACTTTGTAAGGGATATAAATGCTGACTCACTATGTTGTACACCTGAAACTAATATATTGTATGTCAACTATAATTAAAAACAAAAACTAGCCACAATTTAGAAACAAAAGGTAAAATCATACTTAGTTTTGACTATACCAATTCTATCTTAGAAAGTCAAGATGCATTTATCAAGTCAAGATGAAGAGTTCTCAAACTTTGGTCTCAGGATCCCTTTACTGTTAAAATTACTGAGATTTAAAAGAACCTTTGTTTACATAGGTTTTATCTATCAATATTTAATAAACCCGTTATGTTAATACAGACAACACATTGTTTATAAAAAATAAACACTTTGTAAAAAAAAAAACTCAGAAGAGTAGCAATGTTTTCCATTTCTGTGATTCAAAATCTGGTTTAATAAAAGACAACTGGGTTGTCATATCTGTTTCTACATTCATCTGTTTTATGGTTTTTAGACTAAAGTATATGAAGGAAATCCAGCCTTCCACAGATATGTAGCTGAAAATGAGAGGGCCCTGAAGACTCTGAGGAGGTGGGTCTCAGTGAACCTTCCGGAATCCTCAGACCACACTTTGAACTGCTGATATAGACCACAGGGAATGGATTGTTTCTAAAGTTTCTGAAAAGGCTGAAGTTTTTAAATGTTTTCCTGTTAAGGCAAAAAGAAAAAAAAAAACCCAGAAACATTTCACTGAGGAATAATAAAGGATATGTTACACCATACTAAGTTAAAGTAAAAATCTAATTGATTTAATTTCTTACTATTTTAACACTGGAAATCTGTGACTAGGTAAGAAACAGCTTATAACATTTTTTAGTAAATCACAACAAAATATTTTTATCATACCGCTAAGCCCTTCAATTTTGTGGTTTTGTTTTATCTTGAAGAACATCAAATTTTTCCTTTTCTCCTTTTCCCTTTCACGATCCAATTGCCAAAGGTTCCTTCTTTCTCTCTTTTGGTCTTTTCCCCTCTCAGATGTATTTAGAAGACCATTCCTTTAAACCAGCTTGCTCTTTAAATAAGTCTGTCTCTAGAAATCATGCACGTGTCTTTAAACTGAGCACCTGAAAAGGGCACCAATCTCTTTAAATTCTGTGCCAATTATCTTTTTATGGCATTGAGCCCTTTAAGAAGATGCACTTTCTTTGAAATCCATTCCCTAAAGTTTGTGGTCTAATTTCCTTTTTTGTTTTAAAAGTGATTTCAGAGTTTGAATGAATTTAATCTTTCTGGTGATTGCTCCAACTCACCCACAAACGCCCTCACTAGTGTTGCTCTGTCTTAATCTAGTTTTCTCCTCAGTCTGCCTTTACTTGCCTCAAAGCACCTGACAGAATGGGGGTAGGACAGGTATGTGGGATGTGGAGCTGGTGTTTGTTTTCTTCCTTTCACTCACAGTTGGGGCATGCATTCTGTCTTCAAATAACATTGACCATGTAGCTTTTATGATTCTCTGCCAACAGATTTTCCCTAGATGTGAAGTTATTTCATGTCGTGTGGGAAGATTGGGGGAAGTTGTTTATTATACAGTCTCCTTAGTCTGTAGCTACCCAGAAGTCCTAACACTATATTCTTAACTTTAAAAGATAGTTACCAAATTTTTAAAATTCAGATTTTAGTGAGTGGTCTTTTACCTGAATGTTTCTTCCTGGAGCTGTTCTAATTGAGTTTGGAGCTGCAGATGTCTTCTCCCTGCTGGACTGTTAGGATCTTCTATAGAATCAGATTGATTAAGTCTTTCCATTAATACCTGGTTCTCTGCCAGCAGACTACTTTTCTCTTCTTGCAATGCTGCAACCTGTAAGAATATAGGAAAACAGTTATTTCTTTCAATTACACTGGTATTAGCATAATCACCTGTGAATTACTATTTTTTTTAGTAATCACCTGTGATTAGTATTAAAGCCTATTTTTAAAGAAGTACAATCAACCTCTACTTAAAATATCTCCATTATTTTGAAATATTGCACAGAGTAATAAAAGTAAGCAAGAATTATTTTATATCTGAAAAAAACAGCTCAACGAAGGATATATGTGGTAACTAAGGACAAAAAGATATGCATGATTGGTCATTAGGAAATGCAAATTAAACGCACAATGTTATACCAATAGTTTCCCACTAGAATGGCTAAAATTAAAAAGACTGGCTACACCAAGTGTACAAATGGAAGCCTCATACATTTCTGGTGAGAATATAAAATGTTTTAACCACTCTTGGAACAGTTTTGCAATTCCCTAAAAAACTTAACATGAAACTACCACATAACCCAGCCATTCTACTCCTAAGTATTTATTTACTCAAGAGGAATAAAAGCTATGTCCATACAAAGACTTATAAAGAATGTTTATAGTAGTGTCATTTGTAATAAAGAAAAACTAGAAACAATACAGATGTTCATCAACAGGTGAATGAATAAATTATACTACATCCACATAACGGAATAGTATTCAAAATAAAAAAGAGGGCCGGCCGAGGCTCAGCTGGTTAAGAGCTCACTTGGGAGCACCAGCTCTGAGCAGCAGGGCTGCAGTTCAGATCCCACATGAGGGCCAGTGATGCTCGCCCTCTACAGCTAAGATGGTGAACAACAGCTCGACCTGGAGCTGGGCTGCTGTGAGTCGCCGGAGATAGTGTAGGCTGCAGCGGGGCTGCAGTGGGCTGCCGTGAGCTACCATGTGTGGCCAGCAGCCAGTGTGAGCGGCTGGTAGCTGGTGTGAGCTGCTGGGAGCCGCTATGAGCGGCTGACCAATGACCGGCAACTGATTGCCTCATCTGGGAAGAGCACAATGGTCATACCAACATGGGCCAGGGAAGCGATGTCCTCCACAACTAGACTGAAGAACAAAAACAGCAATTTGTCTACCTGTCTGTTCCCCTTTCCCGATTCCCCAACACTGTTCCCCTCCCAATTCCCCAATAAAATCTTTAAAAAAAAGAAATAAAAAAGAATTAGCTATTGATACTGACCAACATAAATGAATCTCAAAATAATGTCATACCAAAAAACCCCATATACACTGTATGAGTCCTTTTATATACAATTCTAGGAGATACAATCTAATTTACAGTGACAGAATCAGAGCTGGGGACTCGAGGGGAATTACAGAGTTGTCAGGAAAGTTTTGGGGGTGATAGGTTCATTGCATTGATTGTAGTGATTTCACATGTTCCTCGTACATATGTCAACATGCATCAAAATTGTACACTTTAAACATGAGTAGTATATTATATGTTAGTTATATCTCAATAAAGCTGTAAAAATAAAAGTTGCCTGCCATTTCTGATTCTCCTTCTCCATCCCCCACTTTCTTTTGAATTTGCTCTAATTGGGCTATCGGCCCTACCGTTCCACCAAAACTGCTCAGTAGGATCATTGCTGAACTCTGTGTTATCACAATCTCTCAAGAACATTTGACACAACTGATCACGTCTTCCTCTTTGAAGCGTTTTCTTCACTTGGTTTAGAAGACACCTTACTCTCATGGTTTCTGTACCAACTCACTGGTCTTACCTTCTCTTTCTCCTTAGTCAATTCCTCATAATTTTGCTGCCACTAGAGTACCCCACAGCTTTTCTCTTCTAAATACAGTGATAGCATCCAGTTTCATAGTTGTAAACACCACCTATTCACTGACAACTCGCACATTTCTATTTCTAGCCTGGAACCCTGAACTGGATAGCATTACCACTTGGATGTCTAATAGACATTTCAAATTTAACCTGTCCAAGTGAAACTCTTAATTACTCCCCACCCCTAATCCTTCCACAGACTTTCCCATTTCAGTAAACAGTAACTCTATCCTTCCAGTTGCTCAGTCATAAGCTTTAACATCTTTCCATCATATGCACATCCAATCTGCCTGCAAATATCATTGACTCTACTTCAATCGTATTTTGACCACTTCTCACCAGCACTAAATTCTGATGATCTAAGCCAACATATTTTTTACCTGGATTACCTCAATGACCTCCTAATTAGTTTCCTTGATTTGGCTGTCTCCTCCCTTTAGTCTATTCTCTACACAGCAGCCATAATAATCCTTTAAAACAAAACTCAGATCATAGGACTAATTTGTTTAAAATCCTCCAGTGGTTTCCCATTTACTCAAAGTCCAAGTCTTTACAAAGGCTTATAAGGCCTCTCCAGACTGATTTCCTCTTTCTATACTCCCTTCTACTCCTGCTATCCTCATCTTCCTGCTGTTCCTTGAATCAGCCACATTCCCACCTCAGGGCCTTGTGCTCAGGCTGTAATGCTCTTCCCCGAAGATCTGGGAGGCTTGTTCCTTTAAACTCTTTAGGATTTTACTAACATGTCACTTTCTCTGGTGCCCCAGTATCGATGATCCAATTTAAAACTACTAATTCTTCCTACCCTGCACTCCCTATTCTACCTTCTCTGCTTTATTTATCTCTAGAATACTTATGACCACATAACAGACTATATTTTTATTTTATTGTCTTCTTTACTAGAATGTAGCACCTTGGGGGGCAGGGATATTTTATCTGTTCCCCCCACCCAATCTTCATTGAATCTACAGCAACGAGAACAGTAGATGCTACATAGTAGGTGTTCAGTAAATGTCTGTTGAATAAATGAATGAATCTCAAATGCCAGCTCTTTATAATTTGTCAGATTTCCATAAATGAATCTTTTCTCAGAATAGAAACTATTCTATGCCACTCGTCTATTTCATTCATTTCTGCTCTTTCATTCTTCTTTTTAAAATAAATATTTAAGGCTTGAAAGCTTAAATTTTTAAAATTCATTTCTTTGCTACTAATTTCTGACTTTAATTGCACTTTGGTCACAGAGCATGATCTAAATAACAGATTCTTTGAAATTTTATTGAGAATTGCTTTATAACTTGATATATGGTCAATTTATATGAAGGCTAAATGTGCAATGAAAAATTTAGTACTAGACTTAACAGGCTAGCAAATGTTGAGAAAATATTTTAATTCAATATATTTAGCAGAAATTCTTTTCACAAACAGAAAAAGGAGACTAAAAATAGTACATAAACATGGTTTAAGAAAAAACTCAAACAAGACAAAAGGGCTTATAATGAAATGCTAGTTTCCTGTTGAGTTAATTCCAAGAGGTAACTAGTTTTAACTGTTCCTAATTTTATTGCTTTCTGTTACTTTACATCCTTTAATAATATGTTATGCAGCACTATTTCTTGATTTATCAACCTTAGACATTATCTAGTGATTCCTTCTGATATGTTAAATTATACCAACTTGTGCCATCCCTGCTTTCCACAAATATAGTCATATCACTAGTCTCACTTCCTTCACTGGTCACCTCTGCAATTTAAGATCACTACTTATTGACTCTTCTCACTCAATCACCTGCCATTCATTCACTCATTCAAATATTTACTGTGTGCCTACTACATGCTAGGTACTGCTGCAATTTTCTAGGTGCAAGACACACTGTGATGAATAAAGCAGGGACAGTTCTTATTCCTATATAAATTATATACTCAAAACAAATCATATTACATATATCAACAGAAACATATTAAGACGGTAAATTAATAAGTACCTGCAAAAACTAGAGTGAAAAGTGCTATGTAGAGGGTTAAAATAAGAGTAACATGAGAGACTGGAGATTACTTTAGATTGGCTGACCATGGAAGAACTTCTCAAGGAAGTCTAATTTAGTAATTGGCACATCTAAGTGCCTAATAAATACTTTATGATAAATAAATCAAGTAATTTTGAGCTGAGACTGGATGACAAGGAGCAGCTATGTAATGACTATTGCCCCACAGAGTGGTTCTTGACTCGCTTCTTGGTAAGACAAGAACATTAGTCGCCCTACTCTTTCCTCATCAACCCTGTCCTATTCTAAGTCTCAATTTCTATCATTTGTACCTTTACTTTTATAACAACATTTCTCTATAGGATGATTCTAAATGTTGAAAATCAATAAAGTTTACATTATTACATTAGTGATCACATTATTACTGTATTAGTACTGTTTTCTGCAAAGCTAAGTGGTTATAGTGCTACCCTTTCTCTTCTCATAACCTCTGCAACCCTGCCATACACATTGCAATCTGTCTATACCAGGGATCAGTACACATTTTTGTAAATAATCAAATGGTGAGCATTTTAGACTTTGAGACTGTATGTCTCTGTGGCAAGTGCTCAACTCTGTCATATAGCATGAAAGCAGTCACAGGCTACAATACATATCAATGAATGAGTGTAGCTGGGCTACAATAAAACTTTATTTACAAACACAGATGGCAAGCTGTACTGCCAATCCCAGTGTACAACTATAAATTTATATTATCAAAGATAATATTTATATTCTGCTTATAAACTTAATCACCTTTATTTACTTTTATAACTCTTAGCATTTGTGTAGTTAAATTCTAAAATTTGAAAAGCAATTACTAGCACTTACATTATGAGTAAATATTACTTACAACATAACCCAACAAGTGTGCTATGATTATACTTCCTCCCATATGCATCCGAGGCAATGGCCAACTCTGCTTTAGAGGTAAAATGCTTCCAGTATAAAATACTATGAACTGTTTTCCTTTTTTAAAAAAAATTAGGGTTGCATTGTAGTCAAACTGTGCTGTATGGCAGTACACAGTACGTTTGGTATTTGCAGCAGTGCAATTCAAACAGGTGGTACACAGAACAGACCTCTTACCTGCATATCCAATTCATGGCATCTTTGGGCAATTTCTTCCTTTGCTGACAAAGCTTCATTTAGTTCCTCTGTAGTTTTCTTCAACTGATTAAAACAAAGAGATACAATAAACATTTCAATATGAAGTAGCAACAATATTTGTAAAACATAGAATTAAACATTTCCCCCCTTTTTCTTTCTGAGGAACAGGGAGAAATCAAGAACCCTTCTGCAAGAGTCAAAAAAAGGCACTTCTAGTTTTAAATATCTTTTAGTCCTAAATCTCATCTTTTCTGTACTTTGAATTTGGTTCTTTTCTCATATCAAGTTTTCTTACACACCTTCTATCTGGGTTACCTGGTTCCTGGTAATGTTAATTGTGTAATGAGAAATTTTACCTTAGTAAAGTAGGTATGTGCTAGAGGATAAGGGTTTCAATTGCTAAAATATATAGTAGTATATTTCAATACAAGTTTTTACTCATATTAAACCTTTATGTTAATTTATATATCAGTTTTAAAATATTTTTATTATTCTGATTCTCAACACAAACCAAACATTTCCAAGTTGTGTCACATTATTACACAAACTGTAAGTATGAATAAAATAATTACAATTAATCAATTGATTAATCACTTAATTTTAAAAAAGAAAAATGGATTAAAATAAAATTATACTGGTTTTTCACTTCATGTAACCAAACCTCTGTGTAATACAGATACAAAAAAAAGCATTCAGGGTAGCAACTTTAAAACTAAACATCACAAAGTAAGGAAAAGACAAATTACAACTTGGGTTAAAATTACAGCATGTCCAAAGACTTTCCTGCAAAACACTTAGAAACTATGTGGAATAAATGCAAGAAGACAAAGACCAGAAAGATTTCTGTTCATGCTTTGGAACAGATGTCCCAGAATAGCTGGAACATAGAAATTCACAATGTAACTAACAGATTTTATTAAAAGCAATAATTAAAATTACAAAATAACTTTTCCATTAAAACCATAAGAATACATTGAAGAGTTCCTTTAAAAATAGAGTACTAGCGGGCCGGTCGAGTGGCGCGATGGTTAAGAACTGGCTTGGGATGCCAGAGGGCCCCGGTTCGGATCCCACATATGAGGGCCAGTGACACTGCCCTC